GGGGGGCTGGGTGTCTGTACTGGGGGGTGTCTGTCTGTGCTGGGGGAGGGGGGCTGGGTGTCTGTACTGGGGGTGTCTGTGCTGGGCGTGGGAGGAGGGCTGTCTGTCTATACCAGGCCAAGGGGAGTGGGTTGGGGGTGTCAGTGTGTCTGTCCCTGTGTCCTGGGCCAGGGTCCCTGACGCTCTGCCCCCCCCCAGGCCTGCCGCCACTTCAACGACAGTGGGGCCTGCGTCCCCCTGTGCCCGCAGCCGCTGATCTACAACAAGCTCACCTTCCAGCTGGAGCCCAACCCCGACACCAAGTACCAGTACGGGGGCATCTGTGTGGCCAGCTGCCCACGTGAGCCGGGGCCGGGGGGTCCCCGCGGGTGCCCTGATCTCTCCCGGGGGAGGGGGGTGTTCCCAGCCATCCGACCTCCCAGCCCTGTTGTGAGACCCCTGCTCCGTGCCCACCCCCACCCTTCTGGGCAGGGGAAGTCACTGGGGAATCGTCCTTCCCGCCATGTGCCCCCCGCCAAGGGTGGCAAAGGGCTTTGCAAAGAGCAGGGTTATTAGAGCCCTGTGGGGAAACTGAGGCACAGAGCCAGGCGGGTGTGGCGTGCCTCAAGGGGACCTCAACCGGCCTGGCAGAGCTGGGAATAGAACTCAGGAGTCCAGGTTCCCAGACTGCACCCCCCCGCGTTCCAACCACTAGGCGCCCTACCCCCCTCCCCGCCCGTTAGCTCTCCCCTCACCCGCTCCCCCGGCCTGCAGATAACTTTGTGGTGGATCAGAGCTCCTGCGTGCGGGCCTGTCCGAAGGACAAGATGGAGGTGGAGAAGAACGGCCTGAAGATGTGTGAGCCGTGCCCTGGACTCTGCCCTAAAGGTACGGACGGGTGCAGGGGGTATCCAGCCTGGGGCTCAGGCTGATAGAACCCAGGAGTCCTGGCTCCCAGCCCCCGATGCTCTGACCCACTAGCCCCCACTTCCCTCCCAGAGCCAGGGATAGAACCCAGGAGTCCTGGCTCCCAGCCCCCCCTGCTCTGAACCCCCGGCAGAGGCCAGATGAACTGGTTTGCCCCCTATGGGGGCTGGATGGTGCATTGGGCAGCCCTGGCACGTCCATGGTGCCCACCCCTGGGCGTGGGCTGCGGGTGTGTCGGGTGGCTCATTCCCTCTCCCCTCCTGCCACCCAGCCTGCGAGGGGACGGGCACCGGGAACAAATACCAGACGGTCGATTCGAGCAACATCGACAGGTTCGTCAACTGCACCAAGATCCTGGGCAACCTGGACTTCCTCATCACGGGGCTGAACGGGTGAGTCTCGGCCCCTCTGCCCGCCACTGGGGGGGCACGGCAGGGATTAACCGGGGCGGCATCGCCGGACCCGCTCGCCCAGCACTGACTACGGGCCAGGCTACAGGGCGGGGGAAGTCTGTACCCCCTGGAAGAGCAGAGATTCGGGCCAGGTTGGCAGGACAAGGGGGATTTTTAACAGCCTCAGGAGGACGGGGCTTCGGTTTCATGTCTCATGTGAGAGCCGGCGCCCCCTAACCCTACGCTGCGGCATTGGGGCCAGCCTGGAGAGCCAGGGGAGAGCGCCCCCTGCTGACCCCTCGCCCTGCAGCACAGCGCCCCCTGCTGACCCCTCGCCCTGCAGCACAGCGCCCCCTGCTGACCCCCGGCTCCCTGCAGCACAGCGCCCCCTAGCGCCCAGCCCGTTGAGAGCGCCCCCAGCGGAGCTGGGATCAGCCGTTCTGAGGGTGTCTGGGTCTCGTTCCCTCCCCCCACACGCAGGGACCCCTGGCACAACATCTCGGCCTTGGATCCGGAGAAGCTGAACGTTTTCCGGACGGTGCGGGAGATCACGGGTGAGGAACGGGCGGGGGCTGGGGGGGTGGGGGGAGGTGGGCAGGGCCTGGCCCGTTGGCCTGCGGGGAAGCCCCAGGTGTCTGTAGATCAGCTCCATGACCCTGGCGGCCAAGAGGGGGACTTCATGGGGGCGGGAGGGTCCCACGCCCGGCAAGGGGGCAGTGTGTGTGTGTTGGGGGTGGGGCGGCTGGAGACGAAGAGGGGGCGTCCCTGACACTCTGGTTCCTTCCCTCCCCCCAGGTTATCTGAACATCCAGTCGTGGCCCAAACACATGTACAACTTCAGTGTCTTCTCCAACCTCGTCACCATTGGGGGCCGGAGCCTGTACAAGTGAGAGACCCCCCCAGCCCTGCCCTGCCCTGGGGGAGAGGCCCCTGGCCCTGCAGCTGGGCACAGGGGCAGGGGCAGAGAACCCCCCCAGCCCTGCCCCACCTGGGGGAGAGGCCCCCCCGGCCCATAGAGGATTGGGGGGCTTTCCCCCAGCCCCTTGCCCAGTGGTGCCAGAGTCCCTACACGCAGGACTGTGGCTCAGGGCTGGGGGGAGAGGAGGAGCCTTTAGTCTGTTCAAATGCAGCCCCCCCGTGTTAGGGGCTAAGAGCAGGCCCCTGTCCGTGGCCCCGTGTGGAACGAGGCAGTGGGTCTCAGCCCCGTTCGTAGTGGGATGGGTGGATCCATCGCCCGAGAGCAGCACCAGGGGTCCCAGGCCCCCTGCTCCACGCCACTGTGCACAGAACCCAGGAGTCCGGGCTCCGCCCCAGGGAGCCGTGGGCCTGACGCTGGCCTGTCCGTCCCCAGCCGCGGCTTCTCCCTGCTGATCATGAAGAACCTGAACGTGACGTCGCTGGGGCTGCGCTCGCTGCGGGAGATCAGCGCCGGGAAAGTGTACATCACCGAGAACCGGCAGCTCTGCTACCTCCACACCGTCAACTGGGGGGCGCTGTCCCGCCGCAAGCCCGACCTGGAGATCAAGGACAACAGGCCCCGGGCCAAGTGCGGTGAGTGGGGGCGGGGCGAGGTCCTGGGGTGCAGCCAATGAGGGTCCAGTCCGTGAGAGAGGGGGACCAGGCGCCAGGACTCCTGGGTTCCATCCCCGGATATGGGAGGGGAGTGGGGTCTAGTGATTAGAGAATGATGGGGGCTGGGCACCAGGACTCCTGGGTTCTATCCCCGGATCTGGGAAGGGAGTGGGGTCTAGTGGTTGGGAGGAGCTGGGAGCCAGGACGCCTGCGTTCCATCCCTGGATCTGGGAGGGGAGTGGGGTCTAGTGGTTAGAGAATGACGGGGGCTGGGCACCAGGACTCCTGGGTTCTATCCCCGGATCTGGGAAGGGAGTGGGGTCTAGTGGTGGTGGGGGTCTGGGAGCCAGGACGCCTGCGTTCCATCCCTGGATCTGGGAGGGGAGTGGGGTCTAGTGGTTGGG